AAACTGCAACAGGGAAAAAGTTGGGGCCACATCTTGTGTGTGCATGTGTGTGCTTGTGGCTGTGCATGCCCTAATTGTGCCCAGTCTCTTTTCCGAAGGGCCCCTACAGCAAATCAGCAAGGACCCACCATGAAGCAGAGATAGGCGTTAGGCTTCCAGTTCTGCATGAGCGGGCCGAGAATATATAGTCTGCATTCGAATTCAGGCAGTTCTGCATGAGTGGGCAGAGAATATATAGTCTGGATTCGAATTCAGGTCTGTATATCAGCGGTTATGGGTCACTAACTCAGCTAGGTCCTGTTGCTCTCTGCACGTGATTCTCTGTTTTTTCGTTTTCCTCCTCTTAGGAATACGTGCAGTGGCCCTAAGGGCCTCTACTCACCACATCCACAAAAGACAAAACATATGGCGGCGTATGGTTCCATGTTCTAGCAGACGATTCATTCTAATTTTGCACATTTGCTGAGTAGTGCAGCCAAGCCGTGAGAATCACGTGCAGAGACCAACAGCGCCTATCGAAGTGAGCAACCCATAACTGCTGAAACACAGACCTGAATTCGAGTCCAGAATATATATTCAGCCAGCTCCTGCTCCACTTCATACTCAACGTCTGCCTCGATGTGGTGGAGGGTTTACGACTCTACGCTAATTTGCTGCGAGGACCCTTCAGATTACATGCAGGGGCCCTCTGCTGTGTGTGAAAGGGGTCCTTTGCTCTCTCTCTCTCTCTCTCTCTCTCTCTCTCTCTCTCTCTCTCTCTCTCTCTCTCTCTGTATACACACACACCCCATTAAAAAATGTAAAAAAAATAGAGTGCGTCACTAATTTGCTCATGGCGCATGGCGCACGCGCACCGCACGGCACACAGCAGAAGTGCGCTGCAAGTATGGTTTTAAAGCTTGTGGTTCTGGGTCCTTGTCCATTCTGGGGAGCGTCAGTCCGGTTCCTATTCCACCGGCAAGTCAAGGAAAATACTGTAAATACATCATGATGTGAGGATTAAGCCCTCAAGGGGCCCTATCAGACATCACATGATCTGGGCTAAGCCCCCCAGCAAGCCGAGTGCCCGCCCTAAGTGAAGGCGAGCCTGAATATTCGTCGGAGGCAAAATTCGACATTTCCGTATGTGAGGCAGCCCAGGCCAGGCATTCTGGCCAGTGCAGGCAATGCGGAAGTGCTGCTGCGCTATCGCTTGATGCTGCGCTGCTGCCAAGGGCGCTGACGGGGCGCATAGTGGTGAAGTGGGGCGCTGCAGGGCAGCGGGGTGCAGGCGGCCATAGCCGGGCTGCTGGGCACCAGGGGGTATAGCAGGCGATCTGGTGGTCTTCAAGGAAGGAGGCGCAGTGTGGGGTAATCAAGGTCTGATTGAGGGTGACGAGATACGTACCTGGTGCATGAAGAGAGGTCGGCTATGGAGTTGACAGTCATGTATATTGGTCTTCGAGAGTCGAAGTGAGCCTGTTGCGTGAACCAGCTGTAGGTAGGATAGTCGGGCAGAGTAGATTGGGTGCTGGGCGCCAGACAGAGGGGAGCGACTTTGGATACTGTGTTGGTGTGGCCTACGGGCATTGGACATTGACTCATTACTTCATTGTATTGCTCTATATGGATGGTTTCTCGGTGCATTTGTACTCTCTGCTTGGACACAACTACTTGGACATCTGTGTGATTTCGCAAGTTGGTTTTCTGTATATCGTTCACACTCATATTCCTTGCAATTTGGTATCAGAGCTGGTTCATGACCGCCGCTTACCTGGCACCGGCGACATTGTTACTTGGTGCGCTGATAATGCTTCATGTGCAGTAAGGATACTTCGGCGCTGGTTTGGAGTAGCGGGGCCCAGGTAGAGGGGCCGACCGCTGGAAGGCTGTGGCGACAGCGTGGGAGCAGTGGCGACAGCGGATGCATGTATGATGATGAGAGTATGCTGACGTGGCATTTTGGTTGAGGTGGCACTGCATTGCGTTGTGGGTGGTACCAAGGCTATTGACCTACCCTCTCAATCTCTTCTTACTGTGAGGAAGTGAATCCAACTTGAGTGTCCTCTCTTTGGTGAGGAGTCGTGTGCGCTCTACCTTGAGAGACGACATTCTTCTCGGTGGCGCATCCGGCAGGAGAGGGCGGTGCCTCTGAAGGGCCCTGGTCGAAGCACGGGTCACGGTCACCATGCCAACCCATGGGTATTAGTACACGCAGGCCATGCTGCTTTGTCCATTAAGGCTCTTTGCTGCGCTGATAGAAGGGTGTGTGGACTGACCAGTCCTACGTAGACACTCCCAGACCGTCTATAAACATTTCTGGTTGGGGTCTGAACTGTCCACTGGCTGTGATCGTCATCTTGATTGAGACATTAAAGACTTCCTTAGGACTCTCGGGGGCTGTCCTTAAATTGCCTCTTGATCAGCCAGATCAGTCAAACGTAAGGCTCGTTGCACGCGAGGGTAACAAAGGGCAGGACTGGTCATAAGCATACTTCTTGGGCACAGGGGTGGGTTGTGGTTGCACACCTTAGACATTGCCGCTTGATGATGCTCGCAGGTACGTTGTATACAGGGGAAGGGGATTCCAATTGTGAACTCTACTGTGCATCACTATCATATCCATTGTGCATACATCTGCTCACAATAGTCTATTTTTATTTTGATTAGTTGGTTGACAGACTGCTGACACCTAACAGACAACCTAGAGTAGGACTGTAATCTACCATAGTCGGTTCTTCTCAAAGCTTCTGTTCATAACTAATCAGGATAGAGGTAGACTATGTGTATAGTCTGTATAGGTGTTGTTGATACCGCTTGAATAGTAGCCGGAGGTGACTCGCTGGGTGATTATTTATGTATTTATTTTTAGCACCAGTCAGACGCATGTTGCGGTAGCTCCCAGAGAGGACTCTAGTGCAGACAGCGTCTGCCTAGCCGATGAGTGGATCGGTCGGGGATGAAGGTATAGCTGACGCTAGGAGGTTGACAAGGCTATCATCGCTTAGAATTCCTAGAGTGTTACAGGCCCTACACCCGGGAGAAGAGAGAAGACTAAGGGCCGAAGCTAGGGCCCGTAGTCTTGAGGCTGCGAGGGAAGCAACAACAGCTAGCGTGGTAGCAATGGTTACCGCTTCAGCATTGTCTGCAGCAACCTCTGGTCAGGGCATGCCGTCCGACTCGACCAGCTCGCAGTCAGTCTCCAACACGACACGTGCCGGCGCTAGTCAGATGGCGGGTGTGCAATCCAGCCTGCCGCCTCATCTTATAAGGGAGCAGATGGAGCTCCAGCAGGTAGAGAGGATCCGCCTGAGGTTAGAAGAGGAACTCAAACAGACTACTAAGAAAGAAAAAGAAATTAGAGAGAGAAGAGTCAGACTAGAGAGTAGAGATGCAGACCTAGCTGCACTAGAGGGTTTAGATGACGCGACCCTTAACTCTACAGGAAAGATTATGAAGGCGGGCGTTCTGTCCATGCAGGCGTACATGGAGAGCAAAATGGACGCTATCCCTGGACCAGATCGTGCATGCCCTACGAAGGTCGAGGACCCGGACAACAGCTAAGCCATCCCTTCCATTATCAGCGATGACAGGCCCCTATGCCGCTCAGTCTGGACAGCAACCAAGCGGTACATCAGCAGCAGCTCTATCACAGACTGTTGCTTCTTCATCTCCTGGTCCAACTACTGGAGTTACACCACAGTCGCCACCTGTCCCGCCAACGGAACAACAGTTGCCTTGGTACCCCAAGACCCTCCTGAAACCATCTCCAACCTTCTCAGGAGACAAGAAGGATGAGGCTCTCGACACGTGGTTGAGAACAGTTCCAGTGTGGGTGAGGGCAAAGAGGACATTGATAGAAGAGGAAGTGATAATTGTTGCATCCTACTGAGAGGGTTCAGCAACTCGCTGGATGAATGGATTGGTAGCTTCCAAGGGGTTCGGCAGGAACATGGGTGATTGGGCGCAGACCCACACCCTAGAGAGTTTTATGGACTTAGTGGAGGCTCGATGGCACAACCCTCAGCAGACATGGATTGCCACTGATGGGCTACTAAAGCTTGATGCTAGGAAGTACAAGTCAGTGAGAGAGCTTACCACGATCGTAGAGCGCCTGATTGTCGTTCCAGGAGTGGAATACAATCCACAGGTCTTGTTGACCACGTTCTTGAGATGTCTTCCCTCAGACATCAAGAACTTATTAGCCAGTGAGGCTCGTAGAGTGTATCACACATTTGAGACATTCAGCAAGAAAGCCCTAGACTTAGAGGCTAAGCTAGGTAGTGCTCAAACCCCTTCTACGGATGGGAGAAAGAAGAAGACTCCACAAGAATGGAAGAAGGGTAGTCGATTGATGATGGTTGATTCCGAAGGGAATCAAACTGAGATCGATGATGTTTCCGAACTTGTGGAGGTTCAGAGTTAGACAGCGAGGAGACTGCTGAGGGTAGCAACCTCGCTGCAACAGTTAAGACTAAGGCAGGTGGCCGCGGGAAGGGCGGTCAGCGAAGGACTTAGGGGCAGGCCGCTAACCCAAACAAAATAGCAGCTTGGGTTAGAGCAGGCTTGGATCAAGAAGTGTGGCGGGACCGTTGGTCGCCAGGTGCTTGCGTAAACTATGGCGAGTACGACCATACACAGTTTTAAGTGCAAGAACCCGAAGGTCTCGCAGAAGATCCCTTGTAAGGGAGGGTATCCTTTTTCTCAGTCTATGGCTTCTACGAGCTCCAGCTCAGGAAACACTTAGGGCCGGTAGAAGTTGTAGTTGCTTCTACGCTCGTTGAAGCGGGTGATATACCCTCGCCGTCTCAAGATTTGGTCGGAGCTATTGACTCCTTAGTCACCCCGCAGACGCATCTAGACCCAACTATACTCTGTACGTTGGATGTGTCTGAAGCCTTATAGAACCTTCAAGGTGAGTGGTCGGCAAGGGACTCTCGTGAGTTCTGGGTGGCACTGAGTAGAGGTCCTAGAGGGGAGCACTTCGTTGTGGAAGGTGGTGTGGGTGGTCGCAAGTGCAGCGCCTTTGTAGACATTGGCTCCACGAGAAACTTCATATGTCGTGATTGCGTTGACAGATTGCGCCTAGAGGACCGGGTGCAGCGCCTTAGTAGACCGGTAGCATCTACTTTGGCCAACAAAGAGTGCATGATGGTAGAGGACTACGTTAAAGACGTGGTTTGCAGGTTTTCCTACCCAGGAGGAGAGATCAACCATAAGATATCATTCCTGGTGAGCGATGATTTCCACTTTGACATGTTATTGGGCATGTACTACCTCGAGGTTGCCAAGCCCCAGTTTGACTGGGACAAGAAGGTGTCGAAGCACGAGTTGCCTAATGGGAGGACCGTTAGACTGGCCAAGTATAAAGTCGGTAGGTTAATAGACTCCTATGGGTGCTTATGCAAATCTGCCTTCTATTATAAACAGAACCAAGAGGAAGGAATGTACTTAGTCTATGTCTTTGCAAAAGGGGAGGCCGTTAAAACACCCCCAGAGATAGAGACCATCGACGCTAAGTACCCTGATCTGTCCGAGGAGCCCTCTGGAGTCGTAGAAAGGGAGGTTGTCCATGCCATTGAGATCATCCCAGGTAGCAAGACACCTAAGGGAAGAATCTATAGGATGGCTCCGACCGAGTTGGCCGAGCTTCGTCGGCAACTGAAAGAGCTCATAGAAAAGGGTTAGATTCGGCTTAGCACTTCCCCCTTTGGCTCACCAGTCCTATTTCTTCCAAACAAAGGGGGAACACTAGGGATGTGCATTGATTATAGAGGCCTCAATGCCATCATCGTTAAGAACGCAAAGCCTTTACCACACATCGACGACCTATTGGATAGGGTGCAAAGATGTAAGTACTATACAAAGATAGACTTAAAATCCGGCTGCCATCAGATTGCCATAAGACCAAAGGACCAGCACAAAACCGCATTTCAGACCAGGTACGGTCTGTACGAGTTTGTGGTGATGCCCTTTGCCCTTTGCAATGCGTCGGGTACATTTCAGCACGCCATGAATAGGATCTTCCATGACTACTTGGATAAGTTTGTTGTCGTGTACCTCAACGACAAACTTATCTTTAGTAGAACTGTCGAGGAGCATGCTCAGCATGTAGACGAAGTGCTTTCACTCCTCCGACAACACAAATATAAGATAAACGCAGAGAAATGCGAGTTCGGTCGCACTCGAATCTTGTACTTGGGTCATGAAGTATCCGCAAATGGTATTAGGCCCGAAGATGCAAAGATGGCTAGCATACGTGACTGGCCAGGACCCCAGTCTGTGACTGACATTCTTGGGAACGTGTGGTTATTACCGCGACTTCGTAAAGAATTATAGTACGATCGCATCTCCCTTGACTGATCTAACTCGACTTGACACGTTATGGGACTAGACCGACGAGTGTGAGGCTTCTTTCAAGCGGTTGAAGCATGCTCTCACGCATCATGAGGTTCTCATGGTACCCGACCCGCAAAGGCTATTTGTTGTAACCACTGACGCAAGCAAATACGTCATTGGTGCAGTGGTGGCTCAGCAGGAAGGGAAGAAGTTGAGACCGGTAGAGTACATGAGCTAAAAGATGCCATCAAAGAAGTTGGCAATGTCCACCTACAAAAGGGAACTATATGCTCTCTACAAGGCACTTGTCCACTGGAGGCATTATCTGTTAGGGAGGTTTTCTATTTGAGAACTGACCATCAGACCCTCAAGTGGATCAAAACCCAATCAGTTCTCTCCGATGCACTCAAATGCTGGATTGAAGTCATAGATCAGTATGACTTTAAACTAGACTATGTGAAGGGAGAGTACAACAAGGTTGCGGACGCGTTGTCTAGAAGGGCAAACTACCAAGCTGCGCTGATTTATGAGTTTGACTTATCTGACGACGTGACTCGATCTTTGGGGGAAGCCTACAAGGAAGATCCCATCACGATGGACATCATCAACAAACTGCAGGCCAAAGACAAGATCACCACTGATGAGTTTGTGATGATGGATGGGATCACTGGGATGCTCTTTCTTGAGAAGGCAAGGTTTAAAAGATTAGTTGTTCCATCTAGGGAAGTTTTGCGTAGTTTATTTTTAGGAGAATGCCACGACGCAATGGGACATTTCGGCTATAAGAAGACTAGTGCTAACTTAGTACAGCGATTTTGGTGGCCTAACATGTTAGACGATGCAAAGAAGTACGTATAGACTTGTCAAGTCTGTCATCGGGACAAGTCGCGGACTCAAGCTCCGCTTGGGTTACTCAAGCCTCTACCCATTCYTGYTGGCCYAGGGCAGAGTATCTCCATGGACTTCATGGATACTCTCGTGACCAGCAAGAATGGAAAGAGGCACATCTTCGTCATAGTGGATAGGTTCACTAAGTATGCTAGACGAATTGCCATGCCGGAGACTGCCAGGACTGAGCACGTCATTATGTTGTTCATGGACAACTGGGTGCGTGGCTTTGAACTTCCAAAGACAATCGTTAGTGATAGAGATGTGTGTTTCACAAGTGAGATGTGGAAGAAGGCCGCTGAACAGATGGGCAGCCAGCTTCAGATGACTTCTAGGAATCATCCCAAAGCAAATGGGCAGGCTGAACAGATGAACCGTGTGGTGCAGCATCTGCTGAGGCAGTACATCAAGCCCAGTCGGGATGACTGGGATGAGAAATTACCTCTCATCGCTAGCCCGTACAACAATGTTGTACACAGCACCACCGGTGTCAGTCCTAATCAGCTGCATCTGGGATGGAAGCATAGATCTGCTCTAGACTTCCGCCTGCCTGAAAACCGAACTGCCGCAACTCCTGGAACCATTGAATTTGGTGTGTCCAGTATGAGAAATTGTTGCAGCAGACTGTCGAACACATCAAGAAATCTCAGGAAGCTATGATTGCTTCTGAGAACAAACGTCGCCGACAGTCCACATTTCAGGTAGGGGAACGTGTCTGGGTCAAGGCTAGTGAGTTGGGACAGGAGTTTGGCATTTCTAGGAAACTAATGCCTCAGTATTTCGGTCCCTGGGAAGTCTTAGACATTGTGGGGAATGACTTGGATGGTCCCTCATACGTCATTCGTATCCCTGGTCACCTACGCACTTACCCTGTTTTTCGCGCCTCCAAGCTTGCACCTTTCGCTGAGACAGCACAGTTCCCATCACGGAGTTTTATGCTGCCCCCAACCATGGATGGCCACGTGGACGCCAACAACATCTTGGATCACAGAGATACGCATGTTCCCAAGCCACCTGGCAGAGGAAGACCTCCTGAGCCTGCAAGGGAATACAGAGTACATTTCAGGCATCATATTGATCCTACGGAAGATCGATGGATTTCAAAGGAGGAACTTGTCAAGATGGCTCCTCAGATCGTGGCAGATTATGAGAAGAAACTGAAGGGGAAGGCACCAGCATGAAGCATCTCAGCGGACTTTCGAAGCTAAGGGGGATGGAATGTAAGGAACAATCCCTCAAGGGGCCCTATCAGACATCACATGATCTGGGCTAAGGCCCCCAGCAAGCCGAGTGCCCGCCCTAAGTGAAGGCTGGCCTGAATATTCGTTAGAGGCAAAATTCGACATTTCCATATATGGGTATTCAGGCTCTCTCAGCACGCCAGTTGGTTGGGTAGACGCGTGAGCCTCGCATTGCTGCGTCATACAGTTGGCCCAGGCCTTGACAGTTGCGCCTGGGCACATATACACAAAGCAGGGCCGATACATTGGGAAGCAGGCCATCGGCCTTTGCAAAAGGAGTACTGCCGACGCACCTGCCTGGGAGCCCTGCACAGATGCAGCAAACAGCCCAAGTCCGGAGACTCAGGCTGTGCCCAACTGTAATGGGCCCAGGCCCTCAACTGTAGTCTCGGGCCTGGGCGCAGGGTCTGAGGCCCAACCGGAAGCTACTGGAAGCTTCCAGCCAGGCCACACGCAGCATCCAGGAGGCTGCCACATCCACAAAAGGAGTGAGGCAGCCCAGGCCAGGCATTCTGGCCAGTGCAGGCAATGTGGAAGTGCTGCTGCGCTATCGCTTGATGCTGCACTGCTGCCAAGGGCGCTGACGGGGCGTTTAGTGGTGAAGTGGGGCGCTGCAGGGCAGCGTGGCGCAGGCGGCCATAGCCGGGCTGCTGGGCGCCAGGGGGTATAGCAGGCGATCTGGTGGTCTTCAGGGAAGGAGGCACAGTGTGGGGTAATCAAGGTCTGATTGAGGGTGACGAGATACATACCTGGTGCATGAAGAGAGGTCGGCTGTGGAGTTGACAGTCAGTCGAAGTGAGCCTGTTGTGTGAACCAGCTGTAGGTAGGATAGTCGGCCGAGTAGATTGGGCGCTGGGCGCCAGACAGAGAGGAGCGACTTTGGATACTGTGTTGGTGTGGCCTACGGGCATTGGACATTGACTCATTACTTCATTGTATTGCTATATATGGATGGTTTTCTTGGTGCATTTGTACTCTCTGCTTGGACACGACTACTTGGACATCTGTGTGATTTCGCAAGTTGGTTTTCTGTATATCGTTCACACTCATAGTCCTTGGAATGAACTCATTCCAACACTTCCCCCCATTGTGGTTTGCGGACTTCAGAGGGCGGGATTGATATACCTCCCCTCAGCCCTGCCTAAGTTAGCCTATTTGCTTCTATGCTAGTTCTTGCTCGGTCCTAGACTCTTCCTATCGGAGTTTGATTTTGCTCTCTAATTCTTTCTTGGGTATCCCCAGTATGTGCTCCTATCTGATACTCTGGTTGTCTGCCGGGCTTGAAGGACTAGAACTCTGAATCTATCTAGTATTACTACCAACCGCTTCCTGTACTGTGCTCTCCCATCTCCCAACTGTTAACCCCTAATAGCATGCTTGTCCATTTCTATAGAGTTGTCTAGATTCTGTACTTCAGTTCAGTCTGCTTCTGGTATGGAAGTCTCTTTTTCCTAACAACCCACCGGTTGGGGGCGGCCTTTAGTTTGGGAGATGTTGTTCCTAGTCTCCTCGCATCCCTCCCCTCATTCTTGGTCCATAGGTACGACTTCCTCCTTCTCTGCCCCCTGCTTGTCTATTCCACACAAATCCATAAAGTGTAGTACGCTTCCTGATTTTATAGAAGGCAGATGCGCATAAGCACCCATAGGAGTCATGGCTATTGAACCTTCCTTCAGCCATGCCTCCTCACACTCTTTCTGGATTTTACTCTTCTTCTGGTTGTCCAATTCCCTGTCGATCTTTCCCAGCCTACGCTTTCATTCCACCCTAATCTCTGCTTCCATTAGTTCCTCTGCTTCCTCCCATGATTTGTTTGCTCGTTTTTTTTTTCTTCCTACTGTTCTTCCGCATCTAGCTCTCCAAATTACCTACAGCGTCGTTGTTGTCACTAGTTCTATTAGTAGTTTATCCTCATCTGAGATTAAGCCCTCCCTGCCGATGGCAGTTAAGAGAAAGAACTGGTCAGTTGGATAATCAGAAGAGGTTAAGCTAGACCAAACCTTTTGTCCCATAGGGATCTGACATATTGGCAGTCCAGCAGGCAGTGAGCCAACGTTCTCCCTGCTTTTTTGGGCACATATGACAGGGAGCGGAAACCTTTGTTCTGTCCTCTTCTGTGCACCTTTTGTCTAGCCAAGCGTTGACAGGGACTGCTACATAGATTATTAGCCATTGCAGGCTTCTTACTCTTTGTGGCCTGATCGATGCGTAGAATGACCGTGGTAGTGACTGTAAGTCTGTAACCAGACCAGATTCGTTTGTAAGTATTTTTTCCGTCCTGAAACTATGGCCTGCTGTGGATTTTCTGCTTTGCGTCCGGTTTTACACCCTGTCTCCACTGTGTATTCGTGCAGTGCTATCCACTTTTTGCCTTTGCCCCTCCCTCTCTCGTCATACCAACCCCACTCCATGGGATATATTTCCAATTCTGTTATGTCCTTGTCCGGCCGGAACAACCAGATGGGTCCTTCTGTCTTTCGTTTCCCACGGTTTGTCGGTTTGATCTTATAATTGCCTAACCTTCCGTAGGTCTTGTGTGTTGAACTCATCTCTCCTTACCTCTATTATTGCTTTGCCTGTGATCTCCACCTCGTGAACCTCAAAATTTGTTATGTTTCTATCTGTGGTTGTGTGCTCGATGAACCTCAGGGCCACTGAGGGTGGCCCTTGGTCCTTAAGCATTGCATCTATTAGTTCCTCCAGGTTTTTCCACAACTTATGATGTCCTGGTAGGTATGGTCTGAGTTCCCCTTCTGTTTCCCACTTTGATTCTGATCATCCCGCAGCTGCTCGATATTCCATATTCCCTTCTCTACCCACGTTCTCCATCTCGTCTTTTCCTGGAAGTGTCCATGTTTGTTCATTTTGGTCTTTTATAAGGTCGTTACCAAACTAGGGCTGTCCCAGGACTTCCTCCTCCAACCTTGGTCCCCTCTTCCTTTGCAGGAATGCCTCTCTCCGTGCCGGAATCAGTTTAGCCCAGTGAGGACTTGGCAGGTCTCCGTTTGGAGGTAGGTTCCCCAGTCTGAGTCTATTGCCCTCCTTTCTAGGTGACCGGTGTCTCTCCATGAGCCACATGTGTCCTTCTATGGTCTCATGTGCCTTAAAAGGTAGCAGATTTATGATTTGGTACGGGTCCATTTCTTGCCATGGAAGTTCCTTTTTGTGTCTCAGCCTTCAAACCCATTTCGCTTGAAGGGCTTTGTATTCTGTGGCCGGGTCTATGGGACTGAGCCCTCCCTTGCTTGTTGTTTTTAATACATACTTCCATGCTACTTTTGTTATGAATTGGTTTCTTGACACGTCTCCCATCCATAGGTAAGCAGCCGCTTTTTTCCTCAGATTCGGAGTGTCCCAAATGGATGCTATATACCAAACTATGGAGAAGATACACAAATTGATAACTAGCGCCCTTCCCAGTAGAGGCGTGTATACACTTTTCCATCCAACATATTTATTATTGACAGCTTCCAGGAGGTTAGCCACTATCAAATCATTGGTTACTGACATGGACACTCGATACGCCCAGGAATTTGAATGGGTCTTGATGGTTCAGACATTGTAAGCCCTGTGTTGCTTCGGTAATTGGGGGGGGGGATGATTCCGCGTTCCAAGCCTACTGTTTTCCTCCAGTTTATCTTCATTTCTTAGGCTAGTTGGAATGCTTGCATTACCCTTGTTAAAGTCTGAAAAGATGAGTCCGGCACTCTTATTAGAAC